TTTTTTTTTTTTTTTGTAAGAATTCAGTTGCATTTTCCAAGATGAAGTTGAGTCTGCAACACTGTGTATTTGTGTAAAAATGTTCCCCCTTCAGTTCCTTCTAATTAATGACTTAAATGTTTTGACCCAACTGTTGCCAAGCAGAGCATTTGGGCTTTAATTTGTCATTTTGGTAAAGATGCATCCTTGACAAAAGCATCGCAGCTGTTTCAGGGCTCAAACAGCACATTTCCATTATTCAGAAACCCTTGTTACGGAGTTCAGCAAGTGCTGCTCACATGAAATAGTACGGACTTGTCCCGTGATGGAAAAAGACAGCTTTTGGTGGCCCTTAAAGGAAAATGCACTGCTATGCCACAGAAGGTTTTCAAGATACATTCCGTGGGGTGAATCACAGAACACGACCATGAAGTCACCACCTATTGTTCTCGCTCTGGAAAGAGAACAAGCCTCTCCTGGAACACACCCAGAGCAAGCCCACACCTTTCACCCTCTTCACGGGTCTTAGTCATTAGGGAACTCATGAGAAATTAGATAATATCATACAATAGCAGGGTTAGTGGGAGGAAAAGCAGACTACATCATCCTGGCACGAAGGCTAAAATTACAATTACGAAAATAAAACATGCCTATGTAAAGACAAAGACTGCACACTGCACAGGAATATGCAAAAATCCAGTTACCTCTGAAAATGGGGTTTAGGAGGCTGTTCTTTTTCAAAAATTGTTAACATTATTTTCCTCCCAAAAGAATGTAGTAACACCTACCTTTTAGAACTGTGTAACCTGTCTTTGGTTGGTACTGACTTCCAACCGTCTACAATCACCATCTCCACGTCTTCCGTCACGACAAAGCAAACAACCAGTGCACATTAACTGTATAAAGCCCTAGCCATCATTATTAGCTTTACCATTAACCATTGCCTCGTTTCCCACATCTTGTTTGGAGATCACTGAATAAATAGTTGGGCACTGAGTATTTCCCTAAACAGGTTGGAATCTTTAGCCAATCCAGATAGTGGGAAAGGAAATTCCAGCCCAGGGGTTCCCAAACTTTAAAAAGCATGCTGCAGATGAATGACCCACACACATGCATGACGGCTGCTATTCTTCTTCCAAAGCAACTTCTTAGGGAAAGAAAGCAGCTACCCTACCGGGAGGCCTAGCCCATCAGTGCCATGTGGCATGGCAGCAGAATGGCCACAAGTTAGATACAGGTTTGTGATGGTGAGCACCCAGGCAAAGCCTTCAGAGCCCCAAATTCAGTCTCAACTGGGAAGTCCCACCCCTGGGCTTTATTCCTCACAGGCTGAGCTACTGGAAAGGTGGTCCTTTGGGAAGGAAGACAAGGTTCCTGGCCTTTCCCAGTTGGAACCTGGGATTCTCTTTCCAATCCACAATCGAAGAAGCCCACAAAGCTCCAGAATGCAGCAAGTATGGGGGGCAGGGGGAGCCATCACAGGCTGGGAGCCACTGAGGTAGAAAAAGAACCTGCGCACAGTGAAATCAACAGTCAAGAAACAAATTATTTTCTTGAAAAGCATCTTAGATCATGATTAAAATGAAATGTGGGATGCTGGTGAAAATTTCCAACGCATACTCCTTTTGCAAAAGTTTTTAAATATTCAGAAGAGGGTAAGTACAAGGATTCTAGATGACAGACTTCACTAGTGTATTAAAGATTCACAGAGTATTTACTCAGCAATGCAAGTGGAGGCAAACAGGAATATCATTTTAAATATAAATTAAATTACTAAAAAAAAAAAAAACAAAAAAAAAACAAAAAAAACCCTGACCATAGCATCACAATGCCATCTGTGGAAAAATCTAAGCAACAAAAAAATTACCAACTCTTCAAAACAACAATCAAGCCACTTTGGGGGTAGGGGTGCTGCATGAGAGATATTTTATTCAGGGTTACATGGATTGACCAAAAATATATACAATTAAAAGCATGTCAAAGAAAACCCCGGAGTCCCCTTAAACTGAGTTGTCACGCCAACTTGTAATTTGAAAATGAACCAGCATTATGATGTCACTGTGTTGTCTAAGCTATACTGAGGAAGCATTACATAGAAGGGGGAACAATCAGGGCCATGAATGTGAAAACAAGTTATAAGCCACAGGCCACCAGAAGTCACTACTCCTGTAACTCACCAGTTCTTTTACAAATGGACAAATCAATTTATATGCTTATGTGTGTTTTTAGAAAGCATCCCAGATACCCTTTCATTCATTATGTGGGTTTGGGACATGTCAATTCTTGTTTCCCAGAGCAGCAGAAACCAAACTGAACCCTGTATTCTGTTACACTGGTTCCCACCAGGCTGGGCTGCCTCAATAATGCTGAGCTCCTTCTGGAAGAACAGAATAGACTTCCTGCCATTTGGACTGTGAAACAGTAATCCACCAGGGAATAAAGGTCAATGTTGCACTTTTGGTCATTACTGAATCATTTGAGATGATCTGTGGTGAGGATGAGAGGAAAATCGAAGGCTGAGAGAACACTGCAAATGGCCTGACCTCAGACCAATTTTCATCTCCATCTGTCTAATAGACATGTGGATAAAAGGCCCTCCCCTCCCTCCTTCTGGGCCACTCGGCTGTTTCCAAATCCGCAGCACAAGCCAGGAACCAGTTAAACAATACATTAATGAGGGGAAATAACCTCCTAAGCCCCAGACCGACGCTTACTCAGGTTTTAGGCCATCGGCTAAAGTTTGGAACGCAATTTTCCAGTCTGCACGCGGCACTGCAAAGTAGAAATTTTAACGAATACGGAGAATCCTCTGCAGTGCAGGGGCATGTGCCAAAATCTCCTTGTTTGTACATGCAAATATATGCATACTTACACCTCCACCCCCACCAAAAGACATCCACACGATTTCTATTACATCTGCGAGCACACACACACAAAGAGGGAACAGCAGTAGTTCCAGAAACTGCATGCTGCTATGAAATAAATCTTTTTTTTCCAAGTGTCCAATTAATGCTGCTTAATCATTATTAAGGCATTTCAATCCTTAAATACAAAATATTTCTGGGAACGCAGACCCTAATTATCATTTAGGCCATGGAATAAACATTAATATCCTGACTTTATACTAATACCCACCCCTCCCACCCCCTCCCCGCTTCACTGGTTTGGTGGAGCTCCTTTTTTAAGGTAACGTTGCACCATATATAAGTTTAGGCCCCCACAGTATATCAATGTCAAACAACATCGTGTCAAGCTAAGATTCAATTCAGGTAAGTGCCACTGCCAAATTTTCTTGTTCCCAGACGGGCTTTAAGATTATTTTATTGCTTAAAATTTAATTTGTTCCAACTCGTGTCTCCATGACAACGTTGGCTAACCCTGCAAATCATTTGGGTAATTGGATATCTTATCTTTCTATTGCTCTCAAATCGAATGATTCTGCTAGAATTGTAACAGCCAATCAAATTTACAGTCCTCCTGAGTAATAGACTTGGAAAAGTAGCCACATTCATCTCCTCTTTACAGCCATATTAACCAGTATGCGACAAACAGTAGAATCTGGTCTTCAAACTATACTCCAAATTATAAATGGTGTCAATACCAATATTCTCACAGTGCAAAGTCTACTCAAAAGCTCCTTCTCTTTTATACTGTTTTAATTTGAGAAGCAACAATTGGGATTCATTCCACACAAACCCTGAGCAATTTCAGTACTTGGAAGGAAACTGACAAGAGTAATTCCACAAGCTAATCAGAAAAAATAAAAATAAAAATCACAGCTTTTTGGAGGTATCTGACCTTGTGATAAAATAATAACCAAAACAATGGCTACACAAGATTCTATCAGTGCACTGACATTGATCTGTCTGGGCTCTTTAGGTGGGTTAGCCATATTTGATGCATTAGTCAAGAATAAGAGTGAATACAGAATTCAACAACTAGCTCAAAAATCTCTGTACCCTTAGAGAAAGCCAAACATGTAGTCAAAATGTGACACCTTTCTGTACTTCAGTTAATGTACAAATATTACAGCATCTTGGGTAAGTCTATTATGGAATACAGATTTCTTAGGAGATTCAAAAGTCAACAATTCCCCTCTTGAGTTAGTGGTATGCTTCTGGCCTTTGGTCAGCTAAGAAGTACAGAAGCTGGACACAGTTCAGCGGTCCAATTCCAATCTTCTGGGTAGCTGTGCAAGGAGACCGGCTCTGCAGGCAGGAGCTCGTGGCCCGAGCACTGTAAAAGAGCCAGCGACTCACAAATGGAAAAGGCTCCAGAACCCAGGCCAACTGGCAGGCTGAATGGGTTGTGGAGAACCTCGTGCTTCCCCTGCAGATATTCAGGACTTCAGGACTGCTTCTCTCAAGCTCAACACAGAGATAGCAACATGGGGCTTCTCAGGACACAGATGTCAGCAGGTGGCCGAGCCTTGAATTAAGTGTGAGAGCAGGTAATGGCACAACTGGAACACAATTTGAGCAGTGCTCTCCTCTATCCCACTTATGATGATGTCCAGTTTCTACTGCATCGTGCCTGGCAGTAAGAGCCAACAGCCTAATCTTCCACTGTGTCTAATCCCAATGGCCCTGCTTTCCCTCCTGTGTTTGTTTTTTTTTTTTTTTCCTGCTTCCCCAAATACCAGCATATAAGCAGCAGCTATGAAGGTGACAGTCCACAAAAATCCCAAGCCCAAGGAGTACGTGGAGAAAATAACACAAGTGTCTACTCAAGCTGAAAGGACACTGGTCTGTATGTATACCTCACCAAGGCTGGTGACATTTTCCTTCTCAAACCGAGCAACAACTGAACCTGGTAATCCTGATCTCCCTTTTTTTTTTCAGGATGACAAAATCTCTCTTCCAATTAAGAGATGAACTTTCACACTACATTAAAAAAATTTTTAAAAAATGAAGCTCTCATCCTTTTTTTTCCCCCAAAACTCACTTCCACAAAACGAACCAAATCCTCTCTGTTCCTCCTCCATCCCCTTAAATGAAAAAAAACTCCACATAACTCTATTCTCAATGGTAGCTGTATTAAATACTTAAGACCGTTGCCTTGCAAGGAGACATTTTGCTGCTTAGCCTAAATAAGGCATTTTAATTCCTCTAGATTCCTTAGACAACAGAGGTTACCAATGGGTGACTTAAAACAAAACAAAACAAAACAAAAACATTTCCTTTTGAGCCTAAAGATAAATTCTTCTGATCTTAGAAGGAAACAAAAACCTTTGTAATTGAGGGGAAATAATGAGAAGTGAATGATTCAGATATAGGGAGGAAGGAAGCTGTTGGGCTTTGGAAAAACAAGATGGGAGCATGGCCTAGAATTCCAACAACAGGGTATAGTTTCAAAGCGACCAATAATATATTTAGATAATCAATTTCAAGAACAGGTGTTCTTCCCTCAAAGTGTCCAAGTGCCAGGCACCAATGTAATTGCTCCCATGTGAGAAACTCACTCCCGACAACTAACCTACATGGAGTAGGCACTGTTCCCATCCCCTACCCCACTAGCCTTCCTTCTCTTTTGTAAGCAGGAATAATAACCACACAAAAGGAGGCTGGGAGGACTTATACACAGCTCCTAGGGTACATGGGCACTCAATGGATGGGGGCCATGACTGCTCACTCTGATGTCCCAAATCAGCTTACTCTACAACAATCAGCCCGAGATGCTGACTTTTGAAATCCAAAGCGCTGAAAAAGACAACTAGGAACCGAGTGGGCACCTGTAGCTGAAGGCTGCTTGGACACCGGATACCCTTCCTCCATCCCAGTGGCCCAACCTTCCTTCTCTCCATTCCAGACCAAGATGCAGATCAATGTTAAGACCTCCTTTCCTAAACTGAACTCAACCTTTTTATTTTCACTCACTAATCCATAGAAGCCTTTCAAATGACACAAATAAAGGCGGCTGCATTTTGTGCTCTAAATCAATTTTCTCCCCAGCCATCAACTAGATGTTCCCGCACAGAGAAAGAACAGCCCTTCCCTTCTAATTCAAAAATCCATACTGCCATTGCCCTTGCAAACTGCTAAACAAGCAGTATCGGCAAGTCACTTGTGTTCTGTAATATATTTACTGCAAATCCCAACGGCTTGCCTCCTAATGCAGTTTTCTATTGTGTCTGTGCGTGTCAATACACTGGCTGGTCACCTTACTTGTAAGAGGCTCTGACCGGCTGTTTGCTCAAGGCATCAAGAAGGCGCCTAGGAGAGACAAAGGCTGTGCTCCTGGAGGGCCCAGCCTTGGAGAGCCTCCTCCTCATGCTAGGGTCCTCAAAGAGGTTTGTTTTTTGGCACTTCATATCCCTGCACCACCCATGGCCTCTGAGGCCAACTTAAACTCTCTAATAGGACAGTTTCCAGTCATACAAAGTTCAAAATCAGAGTCCTTTAGCACAATTATTTCCTGGTTTCCTACCTAAGGACGCTCAAACTATTCCCCACTGCAAACATGCTGATGGCACCTTAAAGGTACATTACGGAAGACTAAAAAGTAGGAAGGCTTGGGGAGAAAGGGAGTCTGGCTTTTCTGTTAAGTGCAAATCTCTGCTTCCAGGTGACAGCTGAAACAGAAAGCACCCTAACACCATATAATGGTGGATCCCCCTAATACAACCAGGCCAAAACACAAAGGGTGAGTCCAGGAGAAAGTACTATAAAATGTTGTAAACACCTGTTGAGATGGAAATCTTAAAATGTACCTGGAGAAAAGCCCTTCTTCATCTACCAGTCTAAAACAGGGTAGGTAGCTAAAGCCTGGCCCTCCAACAAATCCTTCCAAGTTTTCCAGAGTTTTTTGCTTATCTATTGGGGAGAGGGGAGCAAAAGCTCTTTGTAAGGTATGCGACAGGCAAATAACACAAAATGTTAATTTATAGACTCCTGGGATCATACAAGTGGGGATAGCATGGGTGTTCACTCTGTATTTCCTTCCTCTTTTCTGTATATTTGAAATTCTCCAGGGGCACCTGGATGATTCATTCAGTTAAGCATCTAACTTCATGAGTTTGAGCCCTGCATCAGGCTCTCTGCTGTCAGCGCAGAACCCGCTTTGGATCATGACCCCTCTGTCTCTGCCCCTCCCCCACTTGTGTGCACACTCGCTTTCTCTCTCTCAAAAATAAACATGAAAAAAAAGGAAATTCTCAATAAAATGTTTGGTGGGGTGAAGGAACCATGCAACGGCCAAAAGTAAATCATCAAGGGGTATGATCATTATTATTAAATCTGGCAACTAAGGCAAGTTAAATGCCTTTATACTTAATGCATTACAAGCAACTAATCCACAACTCTATTTAGGGGCTGTGGTCATCCTGAAGAGACACACAGGGGCTTCAGGGACAGAGATGCACACACACACTCAGTTCACACAGAAACCCAGGCCTCGGCCACACTACTTCTGTTTTCGCTGTCTTTTCTTCAGTACAAACCCAAATATATCACTATAATGAAACTCCCCACTACAAAGCCTCTGGATGTGCACCTGAGTAGCTCAGTGGGTTAAGTGTCTGACTTCAAATAGGTCATGATCATGCAGTTTGTGAGTTCAAGCCCTGCATCGGGCTTTGTGCTGACAGTTCAGCCTGGAGCCTGGAGGCTACTTCAGATTCTGTGTCTCCCTCTCTGCCCCTCCCCCACTTGTGCTGTCTCTCTCTCTCTCTCTCTCTCTCAAAAATAAATAAACATTAAAAAAAATTTTTTTAAAAACCTCTGGATATTCTGACCATAAATCACTTTTCCAAAAGAAAAATAACTGAGCAAAAGTGGTTATGTGAAAACTAAAGTCCTGTAAAACATCTAGTGATATCAAACAGACTTCATTCTTTTTTTTTTTTTTTTTTTTTTTTTTTTTTTTTTTTTTTTTTATGTTTATTTATGAGAGAGAGAGTGCAGGCAGAGCTGGGACAGGGAGAGGAAGACACAGAATCCAAAGCAGACTCTAGGCTCTGAGCTGTCAGCACAGACCCCGACGTGGGGCTCAAACCCACAGACTATGAGATCAGGACTGGAGCCGAAGTTGGATGCTTAACCAACTGAGCCACCCAGGCGCCTCAAAGAGATTTCATTCTGAATTTCAGCATTCCTACTGAATTTCAGATTCCTACTCTTGGCTCAAATTTTCAATCTGGATTCCACAGATTTACTGAAGGATTGTAAGATGTCCACAAACGGCCAAAGTTGTTGGGGAAAAGCTATGTTGTGTATAAAAACACGTGGGATGTTTTTTTTCTCTCTCTCTCTCTCAAAAATAAATAAACATTTAAAAAA